ACACACACACACACACACACACACACACACACACACACACACACACACATACACACACGTGTTATGACAATCTTCTTCCGCATCGTCATCACTTTGGTTGAGAGGTTGTGAGTAAGGAGAGGAAAACAGTCGGATTAAACGAAGCCGTCGGAAACCGAGGCGGATATTACAGGTGATAAGATGAAATCGAAACCAAAAGTCAGAACTCGAGTCCCATTGGTGAGGGGCATGGGGGAGGGGCGAGTAGATGAACACACACACACACATAGAATCGGATCGCATCGATTTCGTTTCTGATTGATGGGTCACTTTTTGGGGTTTTAGTTCTCTCAAACCGTTTTGTGGATTGGGTGTGATACGATCAAGCTTCACGATGGGACATTTTAATTATTAGTTCATGTTCTGAACGGATACTGCATGAACTGCAGGAATGACCCTGTCCATTTACCTCTCTCTCTCTTTCTCTATATCGTTTGATGCGTGTCTGAGCCGCTTAGTTGCCCAGTGAGGCTTCTTTACCGTATTCGGGATTGCTGCTATGGCAACATACACTGGTAGATATGTATCTGACAACCGAAATATGTACCATGTGTTTATTGCCCTCCTGTTTTCAACTTCATACCAGTATGGTTGTGCCTGTTATAAAGTTTTAGACATAAGCCAATTATACTCTCCTGAACAAACCATGGTAAATTGATACGATATGCAGTAGTCAACACCGCACACCTTATTCTGTGTACTCGGATGCAGTTTTGTCTTTGTGTATGTGTGCCCGCGCGCGCGAATAGGGAAACGTAACCAAGTGCAGATGGTGACGGATAACGCATTGGGCTTAACTGACTCGGAGCTACCCTCAATGAACACTTGTGCTCGTTTGCTCTGTTGTTCCTAAAGTTGACCTGATAATGGAAACAGAACTTAACAATTGAATATGTTATTTGGTATTAGGTGACCAGTGCACATATATATGGACGAAGCTTATCTGGACCGGCCAGGGGAGCGATCTCGTTGTGCGATAAAATAACAAATAGTATTTGCAAGGTGATCGAATACCTTGACCAGGAATTTTTAATGTCTGCTAACTCCGGACGCCAGCCTCGGT